ATTTCATTCATAAGTGACATTAAAAAGGTGCTTTCTAAAACAAAATCAAAAGCAAAATTAGAAATTGAAACGACAAAAACAAAACCTTACTTCCAGATCCAACTGATCCAATTACACAAACTAGCTCGCCTTTTTTAGCGCTAATGCTAATGTGATCTAATGTAGGGAGAGTATGAATCTTAACAAAAAAAATTGTTTTGATTATTTTAATTTTAGTAATTTAGTAATGCTTTTTTAAAACAAACCGAGTCCCATTTGACGGTTAAATCTTTAACCAAAATTGCCAAATCATCCTTTGTTTCACAAGTTGATTTACTGTACTTTGCAAAATCAGATTTATTTTCATGAGTTTCAATTTCTTCAAGCATTAAAAATTTCTGTAACAATATTCAAAAATGTATTAAAAATTGTTCAAATGTACTTTATAATAAATTTGCCTGAATACGTTGACAAGACACAGTAAGTTCAGAAAGAAGGGCAATTGAGTTTGGAAAAAGCCATGTCATTGTATGACGCTAAAAATAAAAATGTTGTTTTTTGGTTTTCACAAAAAATTGAAGCACTTACTACTGTGTTGACCACTGACATAACAACAAAAACTTTGTCGGCGTTCAGAGCGTTGCCTTGAAAAACATAAGTTATCAAGATGGCAAATATGATAATTCTGCCCGAAACTAAAGCAATTGATATGTTAAGTGCTCGTAAAAAAGTGGCGTTTCTTATTTTAGACATTTCACGACTTAAAAAAATTTGTTAAAAAATAATAAACTTTATATAAAATTCCATTTACCGGCGAGCAGTTCCAATAAGAGCAGAAAAATGATTTTCCCATGCATACTTAAAAAAGTTTTTAGTAGTTAATTTTTAGTTGCAAAATCAAAATACCTGTTTGATTAACTTTTAAACAAAATATAAGAGTTTTAATTACCAACAAAATAGCCTGATTTTTAAACTTACTCTCATTCCTTTGATAATTTCATTGACAATTCGAATGCGAGTATCTGACAGCGCGGCTACCTTGGTGCGGATTTTAAGAAAGAATCTTCCAACGATACTGTTGAACGGAATAAAGAGAAAAAGAATGCCAAGCCCAATAAAACAAACTGGACCGACGTAGAGGTAGCAGATAAACATGCCAATACAAGTTTGTATTGGTGCCACTATCATGTATGAGAAGATTATACAAAACTGTAAATAAAAAAGTTAATAGTTTGTCAAAAAAATAAATTAAAAGTACTTCATCTAGGCGATTGACATCACTTGAATTCAAGTTCTAAAAAATTATTTTGTTAGTTTTTTCTTTTAAATAAAAGTAAGTTTTCACCAGAATTTGTCCAATTGTTGTTTTACCAAACGCTGAATGATTAAGACGAAGAGATTTTCTGAGTGGTTGAAACATGTTTTTTAAAATCTGTAGTCAGTTAAAAATAACTAAATATAATCTACCTGAACATTAAAGTACACCAACCGACGCGCGTTTTTATAGCTACCCTCACACTCATGTAGCAAGCTGTCAAAACATTAAATTTTGTTTAAATTTTTACCAACAAACTAGTGACAAGAAATTAATATTAACCTGGGTGATGGCAAAGAATATAAAAGAATGAAGCTCCAACAACACCAGCTGCATTGAGGCACGCCCATTTGTAGTCCATATTTTTAGGGTCAGCAAAAAAAGCAATTACTTTTGCCAGCATCAGTGGCTGAATATTTCGGAGAAAACATTCTTCAAATAGGAATAATGTTAAACTAGGAAGCATATAAATGCCAAAAGTTTTCACTGATGCCCGCCCAAAACTTGGGTTTTTCTTTTTTAATTCAATATTCCAATTTCTTTTTAGATTAAAAATAAGTTTTGTAGCCCAACATTACAAAAAAGTTATTTAGTCTTTACCTTTCCATTTTGTCAGCGAGATGTTGAGATTCTTCATTTTTTGGACTTTTAGAAAGATCTTTGATTGACAGCTCGTTTCTTAAACCTTTATGTAAAGCAGTTAACTGTTTGCTGTATCAATAAAAAATAATGCAAACCTTTCCAAAAGAGTCCAAGCATCCATCTATAAAATAAAATAAAAAAATTAAAAAAAAATGAATATATAAGTTGAACATACGTTGAATAGATTCTACTTAAAAAGAAGCTTTTTTCAAATTTTGATTCTTTTGTTATTATTTCTTCGTGTTCNCAAAAAATAATGCAAACCTTTCCAAAAGAGTCCAAGCATCCATCTATAAAATAAAATTTAGAAATTTAAAAAAAAATGAATATATAAGTTGAACATACGTTGAATAGATTCTACTTAAAAAGAAGCTTTTTTCAAATTTTGATTCTTTTGTTATTATTTCTTCGTGTTCCATGATGGTAAAACAATCTACCAATTTTCCTCAACCACTTTATGCGGTAAACAGTGGCAAGAGTGGCCATTCAAAAGTAAATTACTAAGCTTATATTATTAATATAAAATCTGATAAGCAGAAACATTTTAGATTAAGCAATCATCTAAACGTTCTTGTAGTAAACTAGAGTGAATGGCACTTATTGTTAAGAAAGACAATTACAAGCATTTTAAAAAGTAATGTGAGCAGTTAAATGAAGTTATGTAGAGCACAATGTAGTCATTAGAAACTAAAAGTGTACTTTAATACTCTTGTCATAACGTTAACCCACCGTTTGCATTATTAATTAGTAAAACTTGTCAAAAAAGATGCCTTTTTCTTGACTTAATCGATGCAATAAACTTTTATTGCTTAGTAAAACAGTATTTCGAAACTTATTTATAAAAGTTTAGTAATCTTAGAGAACAGACCAAAAAAGTAAACTAAAAAACTGGATAAGTTGTAATGTTTGTAAAAAAATAAAAATAAGTTTATGCTTCTATATTTAATAAACGTTGGCGGTAGTAAAACTATAAACATCTCTTGAATTTTTAATTTCTTGATTTTTAATTTTCAAAGTAAACTTCGTTCTACTTATAGCCACTTACTTCGAGTTTAGGTATACTTCCTTGCATGTCATAGTCACTAACAAACTCAAAAGGTTTATTTTACTTTTTTTAAAACAATTCATTTTTTTACTATTTGTAATTGTATAAGCACAATTTAGCTTAAAATGATTTAAAATTGAAAACAGATTTACTTTTTAATGACAACTTAACAATAAATATCATAAAATACAATTTTTAATAAAAAGCTTAAACAAGAGCAAATCCTTCCGCAAATTCGCATGCTTTGAGTAATTTTGATCGAAGTTTATCTTCAGCTTCAGGAGAAGTATAATTTTGCGGCAAGTCGAGAATATTGAAACAAGTGTGTGAAACGGGCAAATGATCTTCAGAAACTTTCATCGGTTGAATAGTCAACTAAATTAAAAATAGTTGTACGGTTATTTAGAAAAAACTAGCTCAAAATTTACCTTAAGTGCCTTTACTCCTAGAATCGGGATTCTCTCAGAGCCAGTAATAAAAAATAAAAACTTCTTTTTCTGTTCGTTTGTTAGCGAATGGAATACTTTCCAAAAAAGCCGAATAGTGGGATGGTCTTTTGAAAATGGAAGTTTGTATTCAGTGGCTGCCTCGAGTTCACCCCATTCCACAACCTCTTGGCCTGATACCATAGCCTTCAGTTCTTCTGCATTCAGTATGGTCAAAATCGTAGAATCTAGAACTTTCATAAAGCCGTTGCGAAATGCAAAAAACTGCTTTTTGATTGAAGTGTCCAAAATGTACTTCCAATAAAGTTCGACATATTCGGCACGGTTTTCATATGTCAGCCGAACTTCTTTTCCACTAGGACAAAGTTCATACTCTACGGGAGAGCCAAATGTTTGCATGGTTATGGTAAAATTCATTTCACCAAAAATAGCATCAAATTCTTCGGGACCATAAGATGTGTTTAAAATTTCTTTCAGATTCTTTGAAAGCATCGGATCTAAGTAGGCAAGATCATCTAGTCCGTCTAACGGTTCACCGAGAATCTTCTTGTAAAGCACTACTGGAAAAGGCAAGTTTATAATGACCTAATAATAAAAAATTCGTTAGTAAAATAAAAACAAAATGCACAAAACACAAACTTTGTTGTAGATGGCCAGTCCAGCTAGAACTCCAATCAAGTGAAACATGGTTTCTTCTTCGAAACTAGCGTGGTGAAACCAAATGCAAGCTGTCTCATTGTACTCTACAAACATTCCGTACTTTTCATCAAGAATTTCTTTCATCAATAATAAAAAGAACTCTTTTTTCATGCCTGTAGAAAATATAAAGTTTAAAATAATTGAATAAAAAGGGACTGTATTACCTTGGCCAGCATCAACGGCATCTTCTCCTTCAAAACTCACTTTCAACGGCTTTTTAAAATCCGATTCATTGTGTTTTGTGAGGTAACAAAGCTGATTAATCGTCTCTTGTAGAATAGTGTTGCGATGAACCGAAATAGTAAGGTATGGATTTACATAAATTGTACCGTCAATTGGTGTAGAATAAAGGATTTGCTGGTACACTGAGTTTTGTGCCGCTTGATCTTGCTGTATTTCAGAGTCAATAGCCAGGATCAGACTTTTTGCGGAAGCGTCAAAGATGAATGGATAACTGCAAAGAAAGTTATTTTTGCTTCCAGAGATGTTTTCAGTACGATATTGTCTTTGCCACAATAGGTAATCCTTTCGCAAATCAAACATGTCGATAATGCCATGAATGTAAAATTCCTTGTAAGATATTTTTTTAGCGACTTTACTTGTAAAGTAAAGTAACTTCAGAACCTCAAGGCAAATAAATAAATTAGCGTGAAGCTTGGTGCTGAACAAAGCTTTGCTTGTTCCTGCTTGTTGGCCAACGGTAGAGTTTTCGTTGTTGACCTGGTGCTAGTGAATATTAAAATATTATTAAAAACAAGTTGATTTAAAAAAAGAAAATTACTTACTTGCTGGATTAAATTTAGTTCAATACTTTTTCTGAAAATATTTACCAAATTTTTAAAGTAGTGAATTGGCGTGCAACCCCACCAGATTTGCAAACGAATAAGCGCATCGTTAGACAGCTTCAGAATGGCATTGCCCAGGGCAGAAATAAGTGTTTGGGACTGTTCTGAGAATTCGTCTGTCATTTGAAATTTGTGAAACAAAGGGAGCAGCTGAAATACACGCAACACTTCTTCGTTAAGTTGAACAACGTTTCCTTTGCTCTCTTTGTGACGCAAATCAGGCATTCCGGTCAATATTTTGAGAATTGATGAACAAATTAGTTCGTTTATTCTATCGTTCTGAGCATCCTCGATCAGCCAGAATCCATGAAAAGCCATTTGCCAGTTGATTGAGCCGCAATTCAGAGTAGATGCATTTAAGAACTTTTCTCCAAACACAGCCGAGTATTTGGCAATCTTAGCAATCTTATTCGAGTCCAAGCCAGTTTCGTTTTTAGAATCGCTAATGTAGCTTGCATTCCAACATCGAACGGACCCCATTGTATCTNTTTTGAGTCCAAGACAGCCTCTATTTTATAATCGCTAATGTAGCTTGCATTCCAACATCGAACGGACCCCATTGTATCTTCAATGAACGCTACAATATCCAATGGAATTGATTCGTCTTTAGGCACGTTTTTAAACTGTTCAAAGATAGTATTGTCAAGCATTGCAATTTCAAATAAATCGTTGTCACACTTTCGAAAGTCTTTTGCGCGAGCCGTTTCAGAATATTTTTGAGTTATGACAAAACTTTGATCGCCTTTGCTTGCAACAACGAAATACAGGACATTTTGTTTCCGTTCAAGAACTTCCATTTCCTCAGAGTCTGAATCGGGATCTGTTTCATACTCATCAATTTCAATGTGATCGAGGTTTGTGAAAATGGTGTGGTCGTCTTTGCAAAGAAAGCTAGGAAGAAGATTGGAAGATTGAGAGCTACTATCATCTGGCTCTTCGATGATAAAATTGCTTTCAACGTTTGGTTCAGAATCTTTCTCTTCTTCGATTAACTCTTCAATTTCCATTTCAGAATCAATAACTGGAACTAAAATGAAAAAATTGTTACAAAAATATATTTGTTTAAAAATACTAACCATTTGATGCAATGGGTTGAGTGAATGCTTCAAAGTTGCCAGATTGCTCAACAGAAACATCTGAATTAGTCTCTGGTTGCTTCTTGTCAACAGCACAGAGTGATCGATCGGCACTTCGAGGTAGCAGATCCTTTAAGTTTATTTCCACCCATTTGCCGGAGACAACGCAAGGAACTGCTTTTGAGTGAGTATTTCCGATTCCCAGCTGCCCACTTGCGCCAAGGCCAAACGCTAGAACTTTTCCGGTTTCTGTTGCTACAATAGTGTGGCACCGGCCACAACTGACCTGGACAATGCAGCTGCCCATCAGCTCAAACACCTGGCGGGGATTGATTTCATTGGTATTTTTACCGTGTCCGCATTGACCGAAACCTCCGGCTCCAAACGTGAAAAGGCCCCCTTGGGTAGTGATGCAAGCAGAGTGCTCTTCACCAAGGGAAACATAAGCAATTTGGTGATCAGAGAGGCTAGTCTGCAGTGTTGGAAGGTTGTAATTCTTATGAGAGTTAGTGAGTTGACCTGAGCACTGTCCGAATTCGTTCTTCCCAAACATAAAGAGCTTATTTCCAAAGGTCACGATGGCAGAATGGGCACCCCCAGCGGATATTGTGCGAATTGGCGTAAACTGGAGGGATGTGACTAGCGTCGGTGAGGAAACAAAGCGTTCAGTGCTTCCTATTCCGCACTGTCCGTAGCTATTATCGCCAAAAGTCCAAAGCTCTCCATTTTTAGTCAAAGCAAGATTGTGATTTCCACCACAGGCCACTTGAATTACAGGTGATACGTTAGTTGCCAATTTTTTAATAATTGTTGGTTTGCCAAGTTCAGAAGGCTCAGAACTGCCCAGACCAAGTTGGGCATAGCGATTGCATCCCCACGAAAAAACTTCACCGGCTTCTGAAAGAGCACAGCTATGGAAATGGCCACAACTTATTTGAACTATATTTCGAGCTGATAAAGAGTCAATGACTTCGAGCTTCCGCCAGGAACCAAGTCTTCCCAACTGATGACGCTCGTTTGATCCACAGCTGAAGACCTCAGTTGTTTCCAGAGTTACATTTTTCAACAAAAGCAAAGTATGTTGCTTGCCCGATGCTAATGCCACAAAAGAATACTTTCGCCGATCATGCGTCAGTCGAATTTTCTGTGGCACAAGAACAAGGTCCTCTTCGGTTTTAACCGGAAGTTCGCCGTTAAAAGAATTTCCAAAACAATAGACGTTGTTTTTTGCCATTAGAGATCTGTTGGTTACAAAACAATGATGAGCATTGGAGATTTTTCAACTGAGTGACTGTTTGAGCAAGGTAAACAGTAGGTCATTTTACTTACAATATGGCGCTTTGGACAGATCACAGTCGACTGACAAGCAACAGTAATGATAGATTTCGCATTAAGTAATAAAATTCAGAGTTGATGTTAACTTAGTTGTGAGATAAAAGGCATGAATGGTGAAACAAGAAACACAAGGCACAAACTGGCGTACGTGATGTAACCTGCGAAGATTCTACAAGCTTTTGCAAACTGCAATGTTTTGGCTGCCAACATCGGTTTTGGGGCAACAACGCAATGAAGCAAGTACCTCTAACTGTACTTAGCCTCACGTGCTGCTACAGTTACATTTTTACTCTTAAAGTCAACCCAAACCAGCGCTCGTTGGCTCTACCTGTTGGCACTGCATTGAACTAAAAATTTATAATTTTCTAGAAATCGGCAGTAATTTGAAGAAATTATCATCACTATCCTTCACACTTACTATCGTCTTCTATGTACTTAAACTTAATTTGTCAGACAAAAAACACTATTTTCAAATAAATTTTTTTGTTAAAAGTATCTCATCTCTGTCGCTTTATTTTTGTGTTTTGTTTTTTCATAAACATCCTCAATTTTAATGTACACAAAGTGCACACTCCATTGATATTTGTCGCATGATACAAACGGTTAGACAAAAAAGATGTCATTTTGCAACCATGTCTTTGCTAATTCAGACAGTAATTGTCTATTTTCTCCTTGTCTACTTTCACCACTTTGGCCACTGTTCAGCCACTGGGACAAGGCCGCTCTTTCAGCTGAAGGGCGACATTGCCAAGGGCAAGTTTTGCCGGCAAAAATCCTTTGACAGCGTCGCATTTGATGGCAGAAACTACCGGTTTTCAGTGACCAGACGAGACATTGCTCGGGATCATATAACTTTTGAGTTGTTTCTTCTCAATTACAACACAACTAGTGATTCTTTTCAGTACAGCAGTGCTACTTTCGACAACGATAACGGTAAGATTTTTAATTATTTTTCACTTATTAACAATCATTTTTTCACTAACAGTTGTACCATTGGGAGGTTTCTATTTGCAACAAAAAAATTCATACGTGGAATTTCTCGCAAACGCCAAAAAAGAAACAGAAGTATCTTATTGCGTTCACACGCTCTCACCAGCAGTAAAAACATGTGCCCTGATTGATGACACTGGTAAATCCCAAATTAGCCGGCTCATTTTGTATCNGAAAAATTCATACGTGGAATTTCTCGCAAACGCCAAAAAAGAAACAGAAGTATTTTATTGCGTTCACACGCTCTCACCAGCAGTAAAAACATGTGCCCTGATTGATGACACTGGTAAATCCCAAATTAGCCGGCTCATTTTGTATCCTAAAGTCATCAGCAACCTAAAAAACGGCATGCCATGTGCTTTCGCCTACAATCCAGAGCAAGAAAAAATCATGTACATTTTTTCCAATCAAAAAGCACCGATTATCATCAACAGTTTACGAACCTTCAGCGGTCAACAAGAATCCTGGTTCACCAAAAGCATCGACAACTATAAAACGAATAAGTTTGTGGGCTCATTCAACTGGCCCAATGAAGACAACTCATCGACCATCTTCCTCCTAGCTCAGTCCCAGTGGAAACGCACCAATTTGACTTTGTTTGAACTCTCTTCTTTGGATGGAAAGTTTGTCTTAAAGCGCGTGGTATGTTTATCTCCAAACACCGATAATTAACTGCCTACTAATGATTTTGTTTGTTATCTTCTTGGTTTAGACAAGTTCATGGCAAGAGTTCTTTGGATGCTATCACCAGAGGCAGGGCCATTCACAACGGCTTATGCAGTCATCGGAAAAAGCAGTCGGTGGTGGCCACAATGGAGTGAAAAGTGGCCACGGCACAAAGAACAAGAACAGCTCAGGAAAACTGTTCAATGTCTTCACCGTTTCCATTTTAGCCTTCTTTGCACTGCTCATTGTGTTTGCCCTCTTAACAGTAGTTCACAAAGCTGTTCACAAAATGAAGCTTTGCGCTGTCAAGCGGCTTTGCCAGTGTTCACTCTTTGCCCCTTTTGCCAAGACCCATTTTGGCGTCGGCGGCAATTGACACTAATTGAGCGGTGCCAAAGTGAGAGGCATTTGCTTTTCGGTGCCAGTCTAACACAGTAGCAAAGCATTTGAAAATCATTACACTACCATCTCACCGAAGAGCACCAGCAGTTGTTCTCAGTAATCGACTGTAGTTGCCGACCAAACTATTACCACAAATTGCCACTGCTATAAATAATAGTTAAGCAAAATATCGATTAAAGTGACCAGATCGCTCAACAATGCATCACAGCTACCATCTTTCCCTAGCCTACTTACCTGTTTGCCCTAATAAATTGAATGAATAAACTTTGTGCGTATTAATTACTGCAGCTTCAGCTAGCAAAAAAGTACAATGATGGAGCTCATCCTGACAATGGATTAGAGGACAACGGCAAAGGTGAATTGGCTAGAAAAGTTTGTCTGTGTATGAATACTAATTTATTAATTAGCTAATTAATTAGTTTGAAGTCACAGGGCTCGGTAGCCTGAAGAAAAGAAAAAAGACCTGGCTGACTGTGTTTGGTGGCCAAAAGTCGGAATTGCTGCTGGTAGCAGCAGTGTTCTGCTCTCTCTCTCTCTCTCTCTCTCTCTTTCTGGCAATCACTCAGTGTCCACTGCGACCACCTCGATTCAAGTTGAGGGTGCGCTTGCCTCGAGTACACTGCACTAATTGAATTAAAATTAAATTAAAACATAAAATCTCATTGCTATGCAGCGAACATACAACTGCTGCTTTTGCTGCTGTTGCTCTGGTGGTGTTGCTGTGTTCGCCAGTCTCAGGAGAGTTTTATCATGAAAAATGAGTCGCACTAGCACCTGTCTGCCTGACGCTGTTTCACTGTTTCCCTGTTGCCCAAAGGAATACTGCATTGTCACTCAATGGAACGAAAAACTGAAGAGCAGTGTGACCATCAGCATTGCGCTACAATGTTCGCTAATTAATACTGCTAATCGTCACTTTAGCGAATGCTTAATTAATAAAGCCGCAGTGCGTATGTGGGGCCCACAGAGGTACAGGTGAAGTTTAGAGTCATTTTTACATGTTAGTAAACGCAACCTTTTTTGTCTTTTGGTTGCTATAGAGTTTGTGCTGCTGTGTTGTGGTGCAGGCGGCAGTTGTGAGAGCAATAAATGAACGGAATCGTGGCTATCATCCAGGTAAATATTCAGATTGAGCTGGCTGTGTAATTGAAAGTCATACCTAAGTCTGATTTGTGAGCCGATAAAACACTGACTCGGCATTCTAATTGCTGGCCAGTGGCCATGCGGTGTCCTTTTCTCCGGCTCGTAGCTCATCCACTCATTTAGCTCTACTCTGTCATCTCCAGTGAACCAGCCACTTTACAAGACATTAATTGCCAAATTATTCCCTCTATTGAGTAAAGTAATTATTAATAATTTACAAACAATTTTTGGTTCAAATTGCACGAACGGCACCGATTTAGCACCAGTCGCTAGTTTTAAGTGCCATTGCCGCACTTTCAGCAAGGAGCACTTTTACCTCATTGTACCCGTCTTTTTATGTCTTTTAATGTTTATGACTGTACTAGACTAATGCAGTTAGTTACTGCTAAGCATTTTAACTTGCTCAAGCTATATCAAACAAACCGAAAAATGGGAAAAAAGAAAAAATTAGACGACATTGCTCAGTGAAGGAAATGTTGTAGCAGATGAAAGTTGAGCTTAAGCANATGTCTTTTAATGTTTATGACTGTACTAGACTAATGCAGTTAGTTACTGCTAAGCATTTTAACTTGCTCAAGCTATATCAAACAAACCGAAAGATGGGAAAAAAGAAAAAATTAGACGACATTGCTCAGTGAAGGAAATGTTGTAGCAGATGAAAGTTGAGCTTAAGCAAAAGAAAAAACTGCATTATCGCCAGTATCATCATCACTTGATGTGGTTCACGGATATTGAGAAGGTATCACTAGCAGAACAGCACTAGTCGGCTTTATTACCTTTTTCACCAAAGTGTACAAAAGGGCCAGTCACAGGCTCAGTTCAATTCAAAGAGGGAGACAAATTTAGACCTCCAGCTGATTTGTAATTTGTAGCCACAGCAAGTGGCATTTGATAATTACGCGCACAACAGATTCTCAATCGAATGCCGCCTCATCA